GAATACAAGACAAAATAAAACAAGACAAGAGATACAAGGTAAAACAAGAGGAGACATACCTAAGCACTATAGATGAAAAGTATGGGTATTTAGTTACATTATATGATCATACATTGCATAAGCCTGCCACAACGCCAATGTACCCCATATTCGGCAGGTCCTACACTGCCTAATGTTAGCTAAAACAACCAAAGAAGACATATATAGCACTTACCTGCATGAAAGGGCAGAAGCCTTGAGCAGCTGCCTGCAGGAACACTGAAACAAAAGGAATGATGGAAAACAAACGGGTGTGGCAACATAAAACAAACATTTAAATGAATCCAAGAGACTGGGAAATCCAGGGACGGAATATAAGAATGAACCCAGAAACCCAGCATAAAGAAAACCAGACATAGAATAGAAAACCAGAAAACCAAGAAAAACTAAACAAGAATTGTAAAAAGACTACTGGATACCAAAAGCCATTGCCAGAATGATCCGCATCTAGGAACAGGATGTGACAGTGGCCGAGTTCCATATCTATTTTGTTGTTGATTTTTGAAGTATCTTACCTGATTGTTCTCATAATCGTTTTTATCTCTTTTATATTTCCTCTTTTTAATTTCTATAGTGCCCCTAACTGAGACTGAATATTGTTAGTAGTGTTTTCATATTCTTCTGCTGAAGTATGATTAATTAGATAGTTTTGTTGTTTATCTCATCATCTAATTTTTCTAGAGTTTGTTTTCTTCTCCTAATAATTTTCTCCATAGTAGTGAATGAAAACATCTCTAGCATGTCTGTGCATTCATCCATGAATTCCTTATCCTCTTGGTCAAAGGATGGGAATGTATTATATCTTAAACCCCTTGGGGTGATTTTTTTTCCTTTTAATATTTTTCCAGTGTTGCCACCTCCCATTTAATTCGAATTTCTTGGGCCATTGATTTGGTAAGTATTTTTTTACAATCATAGATTTTATGGTCATTTCTTTGAGCGGAGGAGTTTGAATTAATGGATGTAGAAGTGAACAGGCTATCTATGTTTGAACAATAATTTTTTCTATTTTCAAACAGAGTCATTATGGTTGCTGCCTATACACTTATGGGAAAAGTGTATCCTGTACTCAAGCAATCCGAGTTGGGGATTATTCCACCAACGCTGTGTAAATGGAGCAGTATCTTCTGCTCTATGCTTGTGAGTATATTTTTTACATATTGAGAGCACTATTGCTGTTTTTATATATCCTGGAACAAATCAGACCGGATTGACGGACGCACCTCTCCACTGTATCCTCTAGCGGGGATTATACCACTAAACGCCCTCCACTCCAGAGCTGGTTAGAGCTCTTATAAATGTGGGTATATTATCTTCTTTTTACTTGTTTTTCCATTAGACTATATCACACTATTGGCTGTTTGTCGTGTTTTTCCTTTGTCTCTCCACATATACGGATATTTTAACCATCCGGACGGATCAACTCCTGAGGATTGCACCCCTACCTTATCCTGATATATTAGTGAGACTTTTATATGACTTTTATCTGAACATTTTATTATCCAGACGGATCAACTCCTGAGGATCTCACCTTTTTTTTATCTGTTGTCTTACAAGACATTCTACCATATTTTACCTGGGCCTACTTGTTGTTTTATCTCCTTTTAGACCATTTGGTCTGTTTTTCTTTGTTATAGACTACTGTTACTAGCTCTGTGCGCAGCCCTTACCCCCTTCATTCCATCATGACCTGCCCGGCGCCCCAGCAAGGTGGTTTCACGTCCTTTTTGGGGGGGGCTGGTGGGTGGGATCCTCTGCCTCACCAGTCACGCAACAGAGGCCGGGCTGTTGTTGGAAATTTAACTACAGTCCTTGCAAATGGGGAGCATCGTGCCACATCAAGCACGAATGCTCCACCTGTGGGGGTGCTCATCCCGTTTCCCGCTGTTTCAAGCGGGGAAAAGCTGGTGAGAAAGGGGATTTGGGGTCAAAGACTGACAACACCAGTGGTCGTGAGTGCGATGCACCTGTGGCTCTTCAGTTATAGGAACCGTCGAGCTGCCAAAGTCCTGTTGGACGGCTTTGAGCACGGTTTCTGGATTTCTTTCACCGATCGCCCCCCTTCGCTGCTGGTTCGGAACCTTCGGTCGGTCTGGGATTTCCCGCATGTGGTCTGGGAGAAGATTAACGACCTCCTTTTGTCGGACTTGTGGGTTTCCCCCGTGGGCGTGGTGCCCAAAAAGGAGCGAGAGAAATACCATTTGATTCATCATTTGTCGTACTTGTCGGGGGTTCGGTGAATGATGACATCTCTTCGGAACTCAGTCGAGTGTCCTATGCGTCTTTTGACGCTACAGTCAGCATGGTCATGGCCATGGGCCCTGGGGTCTTGTTGCCCAAGACCGACGTGGAATCGGCTTTCCATTTGCTACCATCTTCTATGTTATGTATTTGAAGACATGTACTACGTGGATATGTGCCTCACAATGGGTTGTTCCATATCCTGTTTCAACTTTGAGTGCTTCAGCACATTCTTGGAATGGATGGTTAGGAGGGAAGCCGGGATCGACTCCCTGCTGCATTACCTTGATGACTTATTTTGTATGGGTCCTGCCGATTCGCCAGCCTGTGCACTGCTGCAGATTTTGGAGGATGTTTTCCAATGCTTTGGGATGCCATTGGCCCACGACAAAATGGTGGGTCCAGTCACGTGCCTCAGCTTCTTGGGCATTGGCATTGATTCTGTGGCAGGGGAATGCCGTTTGCCCTTGGATAAGATTTAAGGCTTACGGCGGGAAGTGTCGATGGCACGAGGGCTGCGCAAGATCCACCTGTGGTGCCTGCAGTTGCTGCTGGGTAAGCTGAATTTCGCATGTCGGATCCTGCCGATGGGGTGGATATTTAACAGGCATCTGGCTGCGTCAGGGTCCGGCGTCAATGGGCCTCGGCATTTCATTCGGCTGACTTGGCCTCTGAGGGATGATCTGGCGGTATGGGACTCTTTCTTGGCTACATATAACGGCCAGAGGTTTCTAACACGGATCTGCACCTATTTACGGATGCGGCGGGCTCGGTGAGGCGATTGGTGCTCCGGTGTTTGTGTATTGTAGGGCTGAGCATATACCTGGGGTTCACAATGTAATGGCGGATGCTCTCTCTCATTTGCAGTGGTCGGAATTTCGGGCGTTCGCCCCGCAGGCGGATCTGGAGGGGACTCCAATGCTGTGGAGATGTGGTCGCTCAGTCAGACATAGTGATGGAATTGGTCCGTGGATCAGTCTCCAGGGCTATGTGGACGCGATACAGTAAAGTGTGGTGTGAATGGGAAAAATGGAAGCACGATTTGGGGGTTTTTGGTACCCCAGCTGACTGCCTCGAGGGGCTTATGCAGCTCTTGGAACACTGCGAATCAGAGATTAAGTCTTCTTCTGCGATCTCCGCATGTTTTTCAGGTCTTAACTTTCTGTTTAAGCTGCATGGGTGGAAAGACTCTACTAAGGCGTTTGTGGTGTGCCAGGTGCTGAAAGACTCATGACGTTGGGTTGCTTCCGCGGAAGCGAGGAGACAAGTTTCCGCTGTGCTCCTGGCAAGATTGTGTGGGGTGCTCCCTCAAGTTACTGATTTTGAAGCCCGTCTATTTGCATTGGCCTATTCCCTGGCATTTTTGGAGGCAATGCAGATTGGGGAATTGGTAAGCCCTAGTAGGCGCTGCTGTGATGGGGTGTTGTTTTCCGATGTTCAGTGCGCCGCAGCTCATATTGCGTTTAAGGTGTGCCGCTCGAAGATGGATGTCCTTTGGAAGGGTCATTACTTGAAGTGGTTTGTATACTGTGGAGAGTGGTTTGTATTTTATTTTTGTTTAATCTGTTCTATTGGTAAAGTATGGAAAAAAAAGGTTTTTTTAAAGGTTTTTTTTTTCTGTGCTCTGGTTTCCCCCCCTCTTTTGTGCTGCTGCTTGATTGATTGGGGGAGTGTTCATTGATTGCACCTGTGTGGGATTTGTATCCCCATAAAGGCACAGCCCTAACTCACTGAGCTTGCTCACATTACTTGAAAGCAGACTCTATTAAGTAGGAGTTAGAAAATCAGGAGTTTAAACTAACAAGGTACCTGTTTTACTGTCCTCTATCTGGGGAAATGAGTGTTAGCAAGATTGGTGGTTTGACACAATGCACATCTTGTTGCATGTATGCATGCCTGGATGTACCCATCCAGGGTCCATACCTCTGTGACGGTTGTGTGCAAGTGGCTTTTCTGGAAGCTCAGATTGGAGATCTCGAGAAGCAAATCGCAACTTTGAGGGAGATTGACAATCTTGAGAGGAGTCTGCTGCTCACTGAGCAGAGTTTAGTGGGGACAGGTAGTGGAGAGGGAGGAGATAGGACAGATGGGGAACAGGCATGTAGCTGGGTGATAGTCGGTTAAGGAAGCGGGGGAGGGAAGAGGAAAGGGCTAGCTAGTCCTGATTTAGTGCAACCTAGCAGATTTGCCCTTTTAAGTGAAGATGTTGGGAGCATCAGCTCAGGAGTAGCTGTATTAGAGGAAGCTGTTACTTCTAACAGCCAAGGTAACAGCCCCTCTAGTACGGGTGGGGATCAAAATATAAGGAAGGCAAGACAGGTTGTGGTGGTAGGGGACTCTATCATTAGGAGAGTAGATAGGGCAATCTGCCGCTCTGATCGGCTCAACCGGACAGTTTGCTGTCTCCCGGGTGCTCGGGTCCGGCAAATTGCTGACAGAGTGGATGGATTATTGTGAGGGGCTGGGGATGACCCAGCGGTCATGGTCCATGTTGGTACCAATGACAAAGTAAGAGGAAGATGGAAGGACCTAAAGAATGATTTCAGGGAATTAGGTAGCAAACTTAAGAAAAGGACCTCCAAGGTGGTATTCTCTGAGATATTACCTGTGCCACGCGCTACAGTGGAAAGGCAGCGGGAGATTAGAGAGGTCAATGCGTGGCTTAAGTCTTGGTCATAGGCGTGCGCAGCCTATTGCATTAGGGTGTGCACCCTAAAGCACAAACACACGCTGCGTGTATATGTATGTTTGTGTGTGTGTGTGTATATATATATATATATTATATATATATATATATATATATATATACACACATATACAAACACACACATACATACACTGCCGTGTGTGATGTGTGTGTGAGGTTGATGGTAGTGTGCTATGTGGGTGAGGGTGTTTATGTGTGTGTGTTTGTGAGGGTACTGTTAGTGTACTGTGTGTGAGGGTGGTGTTTGTGTGCTGTGTGTGAGGGTGCTGTGTGTATTTGTGAGGGTGCTGTTAGTTTACTGTTTGTGTGAGTGCTGTGTGTGAGGGTGCTGTATGTGTGTGGGTGCTGTCTGTGTGCTGTATGTGTGTGGGTGCTGTGTGTGAGAGGGTGCTGTGTGTGTGAGGGTGTGCTGTGTGTGAGGGTGCTATGTGTGTGAGAGGGTGCTGTATGTGTGTGGGTGCTGTCTATGTGTGGGTGCTGTGTGTGAGAGGGTGCTGTGTGTGTGTGTGGGTGTGCTGTGTGTGATGGTGCTGTATGTGTGTGGGTGCTGTGTGTGTGAGGGTGCTGTGTGTGTGTGAGGGTGCTATGTGTGTGTGAGTTGCTATGTGTGTGGGTGCTGTGTGTGTGTGGGTGCTGTGTGTGTGAGTGTGCTGTGTGGGTGCTGTGTGTGTGTGGGGGTGCTGTGTGTGTGTGGGTGCTGTGTGTGTGAGTGTGCTGTATGTGCGAGTGCTGTGTGTGTGTGGGTGCTGTGTGTGTGCTGTATGTTTGAGTGATTTGTGGTTGTAGAGGTGGGGGCAGTTTAGTTAATAAAAATCCCCCCTCCCTTCTTACCTTTTGTAGGGAGGAGGGATCCTTGTTGCTGCTGCCTTCCCTGGTGGTCGAGTGGAGGTGGGGGCAGATTTTTATTAATATCCCCCCTCCCTTGTTACCTTATGTAGGGAGGGGGGACCATGCTCCTGCCATCCCTGGTGGTCCAGTGGAGAGTGAACTCTAGCCTGCGGGGCTAGAGTTCACTATCGTGAGATTTGAGTGTTGCCGCGGCAACGCTCAGATCTCGTGAGAGGCACCCAGCTGAGCTGCTGGTGATAGATCCCCGGGTCCTCTCCTGCCTCCCTCACTGCCTGTGGGGAGGGAGGCTGAGAGCAGATCCGGTGATCGGATAGCGCCGGCTCTACATGAGCCGACAGGGGAGATCCTGAGATCTCCCCTGCCGGTCTCACTCCAGAGGCGTGCCGTGGGATTAGGGTGTGCCCAGGTACACCCGGCACACCCTGTGAGCACGCCTATGGTCTTGGTGCAGGAACGAGGGTTTTGGATTTTTAGAGCACTTGGCCAATTTTGCGCTTGGGTACAACCTTTATAGTAGTGATGGATTGCACCTAAACAGGAGAGCGTCTGCAGTGCTGGGGGATAGGATGGCTAGAAGGTTGGAGGAGATTTTAAACCAGTAGTAGGGGGGAGGGTCATAGCAATGGGGGGTGGAAATGGGGGGAGGGGCAAGCTCAGAACAGAGAAGGTATGTAATGTTGATAATTCACAAAAACTACAAGTGACTCTTGATATTAAATGTATGCTTACTAATGCAAGGAGCCTAAATAACAAAAAGGGGGAACTAGAGGCAGTAGCATACACTAAACAATATGATATAATAGGCATAACTGAAACATGGTAGGATGAGACACATGACTGGGCAGTTAACTTAAATGGGTACATGTTATTTAGGAAGGATAGGAAAAACAAGAAGGGTGGTGGGGTATGTTTGTATGTGTTAAATCCAAATCTTAAGCAAGTGGAATGCGATGAGGAAAATGTGGAAGCTTTATGGGTAAATATCTGCTTGGGGGAAAAGAAGGGAAACCAACTATTGGTTGGGATATATATTAAACCACCTAATGTTAATATTGACGAGGAACAACAGCTGTTTGAGCAAATTGAGAAAGCTGCAAATCTGGGTAACACTTTAATTATTTTAGATTTTAATTACCCGGATATAAATTGGGACAGAGGGACTAGTAGCTCAGCAAAGGGAATCAGGTTTTTAAACTTGTTAAATGACACCTCCATGTGACAAGTTGTACAAGCACCAACTAGAATGGACACTTGTCTGGACCTGGTTTTAACAAACAACATTGATCTTTTGACTAACATTCAAGTAGGTGAGCACTTGGGGAAATAGTGATCACAATATAGAGTCCTTTGAAATAAACTCAAAAAAACAAAAGCACATGGGGTATACTAAAACATATCATTTTAAAAAGACCAATTTCAATAAGTTAAGGGCAGCTTTACAATATATTGACTTGCATAAACTCTTTAGTGAAAAGAACACTGAGGATAAATGGATCATCTTCCAACAAATATTAGAAAGGTACATTTCTCAGTATGTACCATTGGGTAATAAATATAAAAGAAACAAATTAAAACCAATGTGGCTTAGTAGAGAAGTAAAACAAGAGATTAAAAATAAGAAAAGGGGCATTTAAAGCATTTAAATCAGACAAATCAGATGCATCTTATAAAAGATAAGGAAGCAAATAATGCTTGCAAAAAGGCAATTAGATTTGCTAAACTTCAAAATGAAAAAAATAATGGCTAAAGAGACCAAAACCAAAGCATTTTTTAAGTACATAAATTCTAAAAAAAACAAAAATGAAAGTGTAGGTACACTAAAAACTGAAACGGGGGTGTTAGTTAATGAAGACCAGGAAAAGGCAGGAATTTTAAATAACGATTTCTCCTCCGTATATATTAAGGAAGAACCCATGGCAATAGATGTGCAAATGAGTGCTACTAAAAACTTGCAGAATAATTGTAATTGGTTAACTCAAGACAATGTGCTGCAGCAACTAAAGAAAGTTAATATAAACAAAGCTCCAGGGCCTGACGGTGTCCATCCACGAGTACTTAAGGAACTAAGTGTAGAAATAAGTGAACCTCTGTTTTTAATCTTTCAGGAAGTGTTCCGGAGGATTGGAGGAAGGCAGATGTGGTTCCTATCTCTAAAAAGGGTTCAAAATCCTTGCCTGGAAATTATAGACCTGTGAGCCTAACTTCTGTGGCTGGGAAAATATTTGAAAGGTTATTAAGGGATAATATTTAAGAATTCCTTGAGAAGAACATGATTATCAGCAAAAATCAGCACGGTTTTATGAAGCACAGGTCATGTCCAACTAACTTGATTGCGTTCTACAAAGAAGTAAGTATAAGTATAGATCAGGGAGTTGCAGTGGATGTGATCTATTTTGCCAATGCCTTTGATACCGTTCCACACAATAGATTAGTGTTCAAACTCAAGGCAATCGGTGTAGATGAAAATGCTTGTTCTTGGGTAGAACATTGGCTTAAAAACAGAGTACAAAGAGTTGTCATTAATGGTAAATTTTCAAGCTAGACAGAGATGGCAAGTGGTGTCCCTCAGGGGTCTGTTCTGGGACCCCTTCTATTTAACATGTTTATAAATGATCTTGAAGACAGCATTGAAAGTCGTTTCAGTTTTTGCAGATGACACAAAACGATGTAAAATAATACAATGTGAGCAGGAGCGTACCTAGAGCATTTGGCACCCGGGGTGGGTCCTATTTTTGGCACCCCCACCCTCAACTTTAAATATAAAAACAACCAACATTTTTTTTAATGTATTTAGCACTAAGCAGTGTTTGTGTGTTTGAATGTATGCATGTTTTTGTATGGAGTATATGTGAGTGAATGTAGCGGTGTGTTTGTATGTAGTGTTGGCGTTTGAATGCAAGCATGCATTTGTGTGTTGTGTGGTATTTGAATGCAGTGGTAAGGTTATATATAATGGTGGGGTTTGTATGTAATGATGACGTTGAAATGCATGAGTGTATTTGTGTGTAGTGTTGGCAAGATTTTTAGATGTCTGCACATATACACATACACGGACATACACACATGCAGATACATATACATAAAAACACAGTCACACACAGATACACATTGACACACATGCAGACATCGTGGCGACTCTAGGAACAATATATATGGGGGGGCACATAAGATACCACAGTCAAAACAGGAGGGGGAGGGGGAGCAGTAAAACTTTTCACTAGGGGATGGGGTAATATGCTGCCATTGGCTGTCTGATGCCTGCATGCTGGCATCTGACTACACATTTGCATATAATTCACATTAGCCACCCAGATTTCTTGTGGACTGGCTGACACCTCTTAATTTCAATCTATGTTTATCAGATAACTCCTCTATTTGCTATCCTTTATGGGATTGCCATTATTAACTACACCAAATAAGGTGCTATCTGCTAAACAGCACCCTCATTTGGTATCTTTAAATATGGAAATCTCACATACGGGCACCAATTCAGGGAATGATCTACTAAACAGCTAAAGGATTTTTTTTTTTAAAATGCCCTTTTCTTATTTTCAGTTGTTTAGTAGATAAATCCCTTATTTGTTATCCTTATGTGGGATTGCAATATTTAAGGACAGGAAATACGCTATCTACTAAACACATACGCAGAGATACACACGTAATCACAGATATACACAAACACAATCACTGACCCACACACATACAATCACAGACACATAATCACATACACACACAAACATTACATACATACCCACATTTAATAATTAAGAGGTCCACCCAGCCTCCTTACCTTACTCTAGAAGGGCTGGAGTGGATCCTCAGTCCCTGGTGGTCAGTGGTTGCTGCTGGGATCTCTGTGCTCTTTCTACACAGGTCCATTGCACACCCTGTAATGACGCCGATGCCGCGATGACATCATATCCTGGCTGCCGGCTCACTGCAGGACGAAGACCGTCAGACACAGTCAGATACACATAGTCCCACACACAGTCACTCACACACAGTTACCGGCAGACAGTCAAACACGCAGGCAATCACACAGGCAGACAGTCACACATACACACAGATTCACAGACAGTCACACACACAATCACAGGCAGACAGTCACACATACACACACCACATTCACAGACAGTCACACACACAATCACAGGCAGACAGTCACACACACACACACACACAATCACAGGCAGACAGTCACACACACACACAGAGTCACACAGACAATCACAGGCAGACAGTCACACACACACAGTCACACACACAATCACAGGCAGACAGTCACACATACACACA